TTAATTTCCAGTGAAGATCATTTGTTCTATTTAAAGTTTATGGACACAGAACTTTTCATTTGCTTCTGTGCTTGCTGTTAATGAGACTTCAGGGAGGCTTTTGCCTAAGTATAGTGAAGAACTCTGCTTCCTCTGCTGCTGCACTGGTTTTGCGGAATCAAACAGAACAGCTGCCATCAAAATTTGCAAAAAAGAAAAGAAACGTCCCTCTTTGGGTTCTGTCTCCAGTTATGGGCTCCCCAGTAGATGAAAAATGTTCTAAATAAACTGGAGTGAGCCTGATAGAACCAATTTAGTTCAGGTTGCAGCACATTACACACAAGGGGAAGGCAAGGGATCTGTTTCCTATCAACCCAGAGAAGAGAAAGCCCTTCATGTACCTAATTACCACCTCACGCAGTGGCTTGTTACAGAGATGGACTCAAACTCTTCCCAGAGACTTACAGTGCTAGAATACCAAGCAGTGATCACAAGTTGCATGAGAAGAAATTCCAAATGGGTATAATGAAAATATTCTTAACATTAAGCCCTGGAACAGGGGCCTAGATGGATTGGGGGATCTCCATCTTTGGAAATTTTTGAAGTTCTACTGAACAAGTGCCCAAGAAACGTGATCTACCACAACCTGCTTGCTCAGGAGGTTGGACCAGATGACCTACAGAGATTCCTTCTCACCTAATTTGCTGAAAAGGTTCAAAGCGAGAGTTTTTTACTACATTTATAATATGAATACATCAAACAACAATAAAATCCCCTTATTAAGGACTAAATTCTGTGTTTATAGAGAAAATCCTGGGAATCAGAAACAACTTGCAACTTTAAAATGTAATTATCATAATTTTCTTTGTTTATTTCAGCTTCATATTATTATTTCAATTTGATTTATGCCATTTTCATTTTAAATGAGTAGTAACAAAAAGGCATGTGATTGAAAAAACATTCAATAACTATTAAAATACTAGAATGATGAAAAAAGCAGAAAACACCAGTAGTTTGATCTTGGGACACTGGTAGCCCTCTCCTCACCTCAGTTCTTGCAGACCTGAAATATTCTACCACTGTCCCTCACTTTCATTCTTTTATATGTATATATATATATATATTTTTTTTTTTAATATATATATAAATCAACACAGTTCTCACAAAACCAGACCCCTGAAATAGTGAAGGTAAAAACAAGGAAGGAGTTAATTGGCAGGATCTGGAAAACAAGTTTTCATGGAGACTTTATCTTCAGAGACTCAAATTTTAGGTATCTTCTATCACTTGGAGCTTAGACTAAAGTTTCCTTTAATTAAAATAAACAAAGTATCTCAGTATGACATTTTTTCTTTATGTCTCTGCCAGATTTGTGGAATCAATCTAAATTGGTAATGCCTCATCTTTAAAAAACAAAGCCAACATAACTGTTTCTCAGACCTTAGTGCAGGCAAGTTTCCTTAAAATTTCAAAAGGGCTTTCCAAAGGAAAAAGAAAAGTAATATAATTTCCTATTTTAACTAAGATCTCTACATATATTTAGAATTCCACCACAACCACCATAAACAGACAAGTGGTACAAAGACACTCTGAATCAAAGCTGTCAAACTGTAACTTATAATAAACAGCCTTCTTGAACAATTCTAAGCTGCACAACTTAAGTCAAACACAAGCAACTAGTAGTAATTTTAAATGAAACATCAATGACACTTTTCACTTTTTATTGCCTCATAATTGTACTCACTTTCAGAAAGAACTGCTGTCATTACTATCCAATTTCTCAATTTAGGGGAAATTTTGAAGCCAATTTTGTTTCTAGCTGACATCCAAAAAAAATGTGTCCTCTTATTATACATAGATTTTACAGATTTTTTATGATGCAGATGAGCCAAACCACTACTTCCAATACTGTGTGACAAATATATCCAGGTACAAAATGGAAGAAACCAGAACGTGAGGCAATGGGAGCATTATCCTGGAGGCTCTCAGATCTTTCAGAAGAACATAGGTGATGGTCATTATGTTTATGATGAACAGCTGAGGTATTTCTCATTTGCATGAGACATCTGAAGAGAATGTATTTTCAAATGTTATTCTTTAATAAATCAAGACATTTAATACCAAAATATTGGCCATATTAGAACTGAAAAGAAAACTAGTGCAATGCAGTTAATATTTTTAATTAATTTCTGAATGCACTAATAATCATAACACTAGTATTTGAAACATCTTAAGAGTGGCCTTGTTCTGTTGTGAGGCTAACCCAATGCTTAATCATTAGCAGACTGTAAAAGTAGGATTTTATTTATCTTCCCTATTTCTGACAAAACAACAGAATTAGTGCTGCTTCTTAAACATCAAGTTGACTCTGCCTGAAAAAAATATCAAGAATATATATTTAAAATAAAAAGGGGAAAGCACATCCAAATGATAAAAAGAAACCATGCAAGAGATGACTCAAGGATTCAAAAAAAGCAATAAAAAAGTTCAAGCAAATCACATGCTTACAATGGTTTGCAGAGGCAGGCACTTTTGACTGAAGAAGCAAATTAAACAAACTAATGTCTGGTGCCTCTGAAACCACAGGCAAGATGACAATGTAACTGGACTTAAAGAAGGAAAAGTAGTGGCCCAACATCAAAGAAAACACATTTAAAAAGGGGATGAGGGGAAGACAAGAAAGTTGTATCCAAGTTCCATCCATCCAAGAACAAGCTAGAAAGATTTTAGAATCCTGAGCATTGCATTGCTGGTTTTAGTTTAAACAGTGTCCAAGAATTTTTTTTTTCTAAGCATTCAAGTCTGTAACTGAATTTTCTCAGGACTGTAAGTATGCATGGCAAAGAGCCTTAAAATGTTACTGAACTATTTCATTGATACTTTCCCACTACTTCCTTTACCCTGGCAATACGCACACAAAAACTGTTCCCTCAGTAAAGGGACTCCAAGACCAGAAATTTGTGTATTTTCAACAGCTTTTTCATGCAAGAGAATGCTGACTTTGAAACAAATAATGATGAACATTTTGCCATGAAAATCTGTGATATCTCAGAGAAATAGGGTAATTCTTATTGTCCCACGGTGGAAAGGAAAATCAAGTCATTAACTATAGAGTGAAGTAACTTTCAGGCCCAGTTCAGGACTCCATTAACCAAGGAACCTCATAAATATAAATATATTTTGAAATACATATTTTTCCCTAAAAAAAGGCAAAAAAAATTAAGGAAGTGGATGAAAAACATGAACGTACTTCAGTTACTGCTCACTCTATTATAAAAACACAAGTAAAATTATCCTTCAGTATTATCAGTAACAACACAAACATCAATAAGAATACAAGTTTTAGCACATTATAACACTCAGAGACAAAATCTTGATTTCATTAAGAATTAATTTATAAATCAATTTTAGCATTAAAGATAAAGACTTGGCTATTTGAAGATAACTATGCCTAAACAACACTGATTTTAATAGCATTTAAATACTTTTAAGTACTTAAAAATATCTAAACCCCGAAACTAAAGTCTACATAATGTAGAAAATTAATATATAACAGTCTTATATCAGCCAGCACTGAAGTAAAGGAAAAGAATACCACTTCCTGTTTATTAGAGCACTGTATAGATGAATTATTTGACTGGAAAACCTTTCCATATTCTAGCAAAACACTCCAAAGGGAAAAAAATTAGCCAGTCTGTTGCTAGTTAATTTTGATACTCTGAGCTTTTGCTGAGGATAATTAAATCCATAGTATGTAACAATGAGATTTTTAACCCTTCTCTTTCCAAACAAACTCAAATAAGATATTTTTTTTCCCTGCAGTCCCCATTGAACCCAGAAATACTTATAGTTAAGTGTATGAGCTAATCTGAAGCTATATTTCATGATGTCAGATAAGCAAATAAATCTCTCTTGAGTGAGAAAACATTATAACAAATATTATTTTTAAGTCTATCTTAACTTATTCTAATGAAGTTTGAAATTCACTAGCTCTTCATTTTCACTGTCAATTACCCTTCTGCTTTATGTTGGACTTCAAAGAAGAAAATAGGAAAAAAAAAAAAGAAGAAAATTAAATTATAAAGATATAGATATATTTTTCTTCCAAGTAACAACTTGAGAAAGGCTTACTGTCCAGCTGAGGACGTCTGTTTTCCTACAGTGCTAAACACAGGACAGTGCAATAGATGGTAGAATAACTTGCAGAATCATGGCTTAGACAAACTCCAGATAATGAATGAGAAGGAAGCTGGCATCTAAAGTAATACTTCCCAACTCACAACAAGTTTGGATTCTGAGCAGTAAGTTTGATAAGCAAACATTGTGCAGAAATTCTGCTTCCCGCAGCATGGCATTTTCTCCCCCACTAAAACCAGCACAAACTTCAGCAATTCAGACAATAAACTGAGCAGAGAAAATGGCATATTGGGAAATCCACCTGTTTCAGAGTGGCATTCAATCCACACAATGAGTGCAGAGAGCTTCATCAGCCTTAAATGCCTGTCTTTGCAAACTATCAAATATGAGTAGTGCTTGCTTATTAAATGGAGGTGATAAACAAAAACAGTACCAAAGGCACTGCCTTACACATTAAGACAAAAGTAATAAGGGCAAAATTTAGGAATATCTCCACAAGTATTAATGAGCATCCCTAACTGAATGAAAACTAAACAAGGGGATAAGATTTTCATTAGGTTTTACCTCTTCATGAAACTATATAGGGAACACTTTTCTAAGGCAATGAAGTGAGCTTATACTACAGACAAAAAAGAATCAGACATGGATTTCTACGGCTATACAATGTAAGAGGTAAGAGTAGCAGTGCTATTTGAGGAGTCAAAAATGGAACCTTTGCATACATAAAATTCTCAGGGGGTTGTGTATCTCCTAGACTCAGATATGTTAGTATTTAGAAAATGAAAATATCAATCCGTACAACAAAGACCTGCCAGTTCTCCCCTGAGTAATACAACAAAAGCAAAAGTAGCTTCACCCTGATTACTTGCAAGATCAAAACGTACCATTCTGCTACTGGTTTGGCAATGCTGTCAAAAACCACATCTTGTTTTGCCTCTTGATCAAAAATTTTCTGAAATCTGAAAATATTAAGCAAATAAAAATTTCTTAGAATGCTAAAACACTACTCGATTCATACATTTTTGTTTGTGTTTGTAACAGTCAATGTTTACATCATTAGGCTTACATAACTTAGTACAATGTTTTCCCTGTAGTCTTAACCACAGCTTGCTGTTGTGCTATTGTACATAAATAGGCTGTACACAGAGCTGCTTTGACAAGATCTGTACAATAAAATCCTCTGATAAAATGATGTGGCTTAGAAAAAACTAAACCGTATTTTAAATCTATCAAGAGAATCACTGTTTGGAACTGGCACCACACTGAATCCTGGATAAATAGATTACACTATAACCAAATACAGCATCCCACCAGTACAGCCAGGCTCACATTTTTTCCTAGCTATTTCCTTCACTCTGTAGCACTATTACTATAGGTCACAAGGCGATGTCTAATTCAATATGTTTTGTCACTTCTTTATATAAAATATCTGAAGTTGTCTTACAGAATGGAAATTCTTGAGGTTGGAAGGGACCTTCTGCTCCAACCCCCCTGCTCAAAGGAGAGTCAGATAGAACAGGGGTCTGTCCAGTTAGGCTTTGAGTACCTCCACATGGGGAAGCTCCACAGCCTTTCTGGGCAGCCTGTTCCAATATCTGATCACCTCACAGTGGGGTCCCCAGCACAGAAAGGACATCAATCTTTTGGAATTAGTCCAGAAGAAGCCCACCAAGATGAGTGGAGGGATGGAGCACCTCTCCTGCAAAGAAAGGTTAAGAGAATTTGGATTGTTCAGCCTGGAGAAGAGAAGGCTTCAGGGTAACCCAGTTGTGGCCTTCCATCATTGAAAGGGAACATATAAGGAAGATGGACAGAAACTTTTTACAAGGGCATGTAGTGACAAGACAAGACGGAATGGCTTCAAACTGAGAATAGTTTAGATTAGATATTAGGAAGAAATTTTTTTTACTGTGAGGGTGTTGAGGCACTGGAACAGGTTGCCCAGAGAATTGTGGGTGCTCCATCCCTGGGAGTGTTCAAGGCCAGGTTGCATGGAGCTCTGAGCTACTGGAAGGCTTCCTGTCCACAGTAGGGGGTGTTGAAACTAGATGATATTTAAGGTCCCTTCCAATCCTAGCCATGCTATGATTCTGTGGTATATTTCCTATATTTCAATTTGTGCACATTAACTCTTGTCCTGTCCATGGGCACCACTGAGAAGCATCTGGTTCCATCTTCTTTATTCCTCCTCTCCCCATCATGTGTTTATAGATACTGACAAGATCTCCTTGAGCCTTCTCTGGGGTAAAGAGTCCCAGGTCTCTTAGCCTCTCCTCACATGTCAGACTCTCCAGTCCCTTAATCATATTTGTGTCCCTTTGCTGGAGCCCAGAATTGGACACAGAATTCCAGGTGTGATCTCACTGTTGTTGATAAGGGGAAGGATCAACTTCTCTGACCTGGTGGCAGTGCTCTTCTTAATGCAGCCCAGAGGCTGTTGGCCTTTGCTGCAAATGGTTTATGGCTGACCTAGGTTCAATGTTTTGTCTATCAGGATTCCAGGTCTGCAAGCCTGCTTTCAGTCATCCTTGAGCCTGTCCTGGTTATTCCTCATGAGGAGCAGGACTTGACATTTCACTTTGTTGAATTTCATGAGATTCCTATGGACTCATTTCTCCAGTCTCTTGAGGTCAGCAGGGATGGCAACACAACTATCTGGTGCATCAACCATCCCTTCCAGTTTCATATTGTCTGTGAACTTGCTGAAGCTACACTTGGTCTCATCACCCAGATCCTTAATGCTAAATGGTACTGGATCCTCTAATTGGCTACACCAGTGATGGGCCTCCAGCTGGCCTGGATGACAGCCCTCTGAGCCCCTGATGCAACCCTCAGCCCAGCAGCTCAGTTTGTTTTCAGCACTCCTCACTGTGTGCTTATCTAGGCTTTCCTGATCCCATTCCTCACACAGCCTTCCTGGGTCACCTGACACTGCTCCCACCTCTTCCACACTTCCTTTTAATATTGCCATTTAGTCATGAGCTGCTTCCTCATCCAGTCAGACCTCCTGCTGCTTTTTGCATCATTTGCTGTTCATCTGGATGGATTGTTCCTGAGCTTGGAGGAGGTGATCCTTGAAAATCAGCCAGTTCTTCCGGACTTCTCTCCAGGGCTGTGTCTCATGGAACTCTTTCAATCACGTCTGTGAACAGGCCAAAATCTGCATTCATGATGTCCAGGGTTGTGATCCTACTTTTTGCCTTCTCCCTTTTCTCAGTATCCTGAATTTCACTATCTCACGGCCACTGCAACCTAGGCTACCCCCAGGTTTAATATCTCTCATCAGTTCTTCCATTTTTGCAAATATGTGGTGTAGCAGAGTTTTCCCCCTCATCATATTTTTAATCGTATTTTAGGAAGTTGTGATCCATATCTGGATCACTGTCTGGAAACGGACACTCACACAGAACTTCCCAGGGTATGTAGAAAGGCATTGTAGACACTGGATATGCAGAAAGGTACCATGGTGACCCATGCAATGGGTACAGTATCTCAGACAAATGCAGTACACAAAACATAAATGCATACACTCTACCCTTCCAATGCTTAATCAGCCAAGTAACTCAAACAATTGTGTTTGGTTCCCATACAAGAGAGTAAGAACAAAAGAGAATAATGTTTGATGTGACTAGGATAGATAAACTGCATGAAAGCGTGAGTTTTATGGAGAAAAAATAAATGCTTACTCCATAGAATTATTTTTGCATTGTCTTATGGGTAATAAGACACAGTGTTTCTCAAAATCTGTCTCTACAGACTTATTAATAAATTATAAAGTCGGAAAAAAATATCAGCATTCATTAAGTCAGACTTGGGCATCTGCAACCTAACCTAATGTTGCATATTAATCTATTTGGAGAGGGCAGCTCCTCTCTTCCCAAGCAAATTTCCTTAGCTGATGTAAAATGACATCACTCTGAACTGCAGATGTTTATCTAGAGCTCTCATTTTTAATAGTATAGAGCAACAAATTGACCTATTATTACAAAAAAATAAACAATATTCCACTTGGGAAAAGACAGCCTTGACCTCATCATTAAAGGTGATTATATATCTAGCTTTATTTATCATCAAAATTATAAAATGTTGCCTCAAAGTTTTCTGCTAAAGTGATGAAAATATTTGATTGATATTGCTGGTAGTGATTTTAAGTTCCTAATAAATATTTACATTCTACAAACAAGGTTTTGTTTCTTTCAGTTATTTCTGTTTTTCTTTACCTTGTTTTGATAACGTCTGAAACATAGTTTGTAAACAGAGCATTTTACATCAAGACAACTTTTAGCCAGCCTACGACAACTCATTAGATCACAAGAGCACACACAATCCTGCATTCACTCCTCATAAACAAATTCAATTAGTAAAAAGGGAAGAACTGATAAATGAAAATGCAACCTTTGAGATGAGACTTAGGAAAGCATAATGACTTGCAATGCATAGACAATAGTACCACAACTTCACTCACTGCTATCAAACTCATGGTGAAGAGTATATGCTGAAGTACTCCTCTTGTTAAGGGAGTTGTATAAAAATAAACCTATACCAAAACTTAGGATTCCTGATTCTGTACATGTGTATCCCTACACACAGAGTTATCAATCACTAAAAGAAACAGATGCAAAGATAATGCTTTTACTCACTTGAATTTGTAGGTCTCTCGTTTATTATTGACGAACCCATCTGCTAAGTCACGTGGCACAGTAATCTCCAGACTGGAGAGGGGATCCTCCTCATCATCCACTGAATAGCTCTAGTAAGCATGGATATGAATTCACAGCATAATTTCACCAATAGAACAGCACAGCTCTTAGACATAGCAGTTATGCAAGCTTAGCACCTGCAATTGCCTTAAGAAAAACCTTATACAAATTTCACTAAATATTTGACCAGATCCTCCTTCGGTTATTATACAACAAAACCAGCACACACCAACATTATCCTGTCTCCACGAAAATACTACAACAATACTTGAAACAACAGTGTAGCCTTTTTGGCATACTTGGTTACTAAACCACTTCAATATCTGTGGCGTTGTGAAAAACAAAGCACAGCCCCAAGTACAAACCTCTCCAAAAAACCCTGGAAGAATACATTAAGAAAGGCTACTACAAAATGAGTTGAGCCGGTTTAAAACCAGAAGACAATTAGGAGACCTAAATGCACGGTTTCTGAGGAACACTTTCATTATCTTTATTATCCCTTGCAAGTACAGCTACAGCCTGGGAGCTGCACGTTCCCCTCCCGTGCCCAGAACAGGGCTGAACTGCGTAAACCCGGTGACCAGCGTCAAGTGTTTTCCTGCGGAGCCTTCCTCTAATAACTCGGCTGGAAAGAAGTTCCTCGCCCCTTCCCCCCACAGTTGCAGCCCAAGCTCTACTTGGTGGTTTTATGAACTTAAGGCTTCGGAGCGCGGGACGGAGCTCTGAATTCCCTCGCTCGCGTACCCACCGCTCCGCCCTCACCAGCTTCTTGCAGGGCAGGGGGGACGCGGCGCCCCGGGACGCCCCTCGGCTCTCCCCAGCAGCCCCCCTGCACCCCCGGCAGCGCGGCGGCACAGCTCCCCGGCCTACCCCCGCCTGCTGCCGCCTGCCCAGCGGCTTCACCCGCGCGTACACCCGGATGGTTTCCTTCACCATCGCTGCCCGCCGAGCCCTTGGCAACGGCAGCGCGGCACGGCGACCGAGCGAGCACCGTGACCCGGCACTGTAACCCGGCACGGCGGCCGAGCACGGGAACCCCGCACGGGAACCCCGCACGGGAACCCCGCACGGGAACCCCGCACGGGAACCCCGCACGGGAACCCGCACGCTCCCCGGCCGGCAGCGATGGGGGGGGCGGCCCCCGAGCCACCGCACGCTCTCGGGTGGCCTTGGAGGGGCTTGGAGGAGGGAGCAGCCGGGCTCCACCTGAGAGGGGTGACTGCCTGCCTGGCCCTTAATGGCAATTCCCCACCAGCGGGGCTCCCCGAGGCCGCGGTGTCACACGCTTGCACACGCTGCCCATCCCGGAGGTGCGGGGTTGGTGTGGCGTGGGGAGCGCTCCGTGGGCACGCCAGGAATCCCCCGCCTGACCTGTTGTGCCTTATCTGTGTGCCCGCATGGCTCTGCTTGTGCCCTGCTCATGCGTGTAAGGCTCAAGGGATGTCTCTGTTGTTACCCAGCTGAAACACCATAAGGGGAAATTGAAGCAAAATACCTAGATTGGAGGCAATGAAGGCACCAAGTCCTTAATTCTAACATAAGAAGGATTGGGGGGAAAACTGCTAGTGGGAAATAGAGGGTGTTGTCTTGTTAAAAGAGCTAAACTTAGGGAGTGGTAACAACAGGACCCCATTACTCTGTGAGGTGGTTATTGAAGAGTCAAACAACATGATAGTATTTTGGCCTTCGTTTTGGTGTGACATAGTGGTAGAGATCAGATTACAAGTGATTACAAGTAAACTAATTTAAATTAAGTGGAAAATCAGGGAAATGATTACGGAGGAGGATAGAAAATTCTTCTACTGAGATATGGTAAAAGTATGTTGAACTTGTATTCCAAATAAGAAAAACAGTAGGGAAAAGGTTTTTCTCTCCCAACAGAATAAATAATTGTGTCAGAAAGCATATGAGGCATAAGTAGTGAGCCCTCAGGGAATAAATTGGAAAAGGACTAATCACCATCCAAAGTCAAGTGCAAAAGTCAAAAGGGTAAAAATGAAAACAAATGGAAAATATTACTTGGTGATTAAATAAAGAGTGAAAAAAAAAACACAACAGGACATTGGAATAGGATAATGGAATAAATAGTATCTTTTCAACATTGCTCCAAAACTACATAAAAGTTTGCCTCTTGTCATTGTAGGGATGGGAATGTTGAAGATGATGTTAGAGGCAGAAGTGACTAAAAGGGAGAAATATGAGAGGGAAAAAAATGCAGTCAAGAGGGAAGCAGAAATCACAGTGTTCAATGAATTTAGACTGGAAGATCAAGATTTGAGAGGGAAGCATAAATAATTTCAGTCTCAGAATTCTGAAAGAATTGGACTGTTTGATTGAAGGCCTGGGAACTGGATTAATTTGTTGTGGTTTTTGGTTTTGTAATAAAACAGATGCAGGAGAGTACAGTATTGTTTGAAAACTACAAATGTAGTAGTTAACTGTGTTATTTAGCAGCTTACCTGGATTCTGAATTAAGTGGGCAGTAGATATTGTAACTCTGCAGTTAATTGTGAGGAAAGCCATTTTGTGTCTACTGGCTTTCGGTAGCTGGAGTATGGAGTTTGTAAATGAGACTGTACTGCTTCTGGGATCAAGTCTCCTAATATCTTATAATAATGTTTACTGTCTCCTAGTATCTTATAATAATACTTATTATCTCCTAGTATCTTATTTTATTATTAAGAAATGCGGGTATTAATATGACTGCTACATTTTTATAGGCATTAGTCCCAGGGAAATTTTCTCTACACTGGGGTTCTTTTCCCAGAAGAGTTATTTAAATGATCAAAGAAGTATGTACAGGTATGTATAAGGACAGAAACTATTAGGTACACTTAGAAGCTAATTGAAGGACTAATTAAGCTGCTTTGTTTGAAGCAGTAAAAATAACACAAGTAACAAAATAGTAACAAAACCCCCAAAATAGGACAAAACTGTCATTAGCCAAGAGAGTTTAAGATGTGTTTCAATCTCTTCACTATTCCATTTACTATTTCATGTTATAACTTAATTTTCATATGAACAGGGATTTGACTGGAGTCCTCACTGTGATGAGTCTACAGACTCTGTTCAGTGCTTGCTAAAATGAAGACAAAAGAAAGGAAAGAAAAAAAGAGAAGAAAAGTGTTGGAGCGTGTCCAAAGAAGGGTAACGAGGCTGGTGAAAGGTCTGGAGCACAAGTCCTGTGAGGAGGGGCTGAGGGAGCTGTAATTGTTTAGCCTGGAGAAGAGGAGTCCCAGGGGTGATCTTATCACTCTCTACAACTGCCTGGAAGGAGTCTGTAGCCGGGTGGAGGTCAGCCTCTTCTCCCGAGCAACTAGTGGCAGGACAAGAGGACTCAATCTCTATGCTGGACATTAGGAACAAGTTCTTCACAGAAAGGGTGTTTGGGCATTGTAATGGATTGCCCAGGGAGGTGGTGGAGTAACCGTCCCTGGAGATGCTTAAGAAAAGACTGGACATGGCATTTAGTTCCATGGTTTAGTTGATAACGTAGTGTTAGGTCTTAGGTTGGACTAGATGATCTTAGACGTCTTTTCCAACATAGTTGATTCTGTGATTCTGTCAAACAGCAGATTTCCAACCTCTAAGAGAAAATAAGAGATAAAAAGATACAAGAGAAACATGACGAACAAAGGCCACTAAATTTAATCCACAGTTACAGAATTACTGATTAACAGAAGTCTTCTCTTGAAGCCTAGCTTAAGAAGCAATTTGGCTTTTAAATTTTTGTTAGATTTGGAAAAGAGGATTGTTACTAGTGGTAAAGAGCTGATTACAAAGATGCAGGAATTGTAGGACATCTTTTTGGTGAAAATTTGGTTTCACCAAACGAAAAGAATTGTTTTCAGAATTTGTATTTCTTAGAACTTTGAAGAAAGTCTTGGAAAATGGAACCTGAAGGTGACACTTAACTGTTCCTGATAATGGACTGATCTAGAGGTTGCATCTTATGATGGAGGCCTGAAAAGTTTTTGTTTGCTTTAAATTTATTGTGTTTGAAATCTTCTTTCTCTCTTCCCTGGGAAATCACCTTGTACTTGAAGAATTTTCAGCATTTGCATCTATGCTAAACCTCAAAGATGTGTCAACTTTCTTCAGCTCCAGTATTAGAGAAAGTGCACGACAGAACGCAAGCACCCTATAGGCTTGAAAAAATTAGGTGACTGTATGAGTTACAGGATCTGGCAGTTATATGTTTTGAAAAGGTCAGCCATTGCATTTTGAAGTAATAGTTACAGCGTCACAACTAATTGTCTGCCTTTACCATTATAGTTTTCTTCCAATTAGAAAAATAATATGGGTCATAATATATACTGGGGCTGGCAGTTCAAGGACTTGTGCTCCATTATGTCACCTAGCAACTTAATATGCTTCCAAATAAACAGCCTTGTAAGTTTTATAATAGCCCAAACTTTCAAGTCCTTTCTTTTTTTTCCAAAGTTTTACTTTTCATAGACTTTACTTATTCTTGGCAACTATCATGCCATTTGGCTGAGATAATGATTAGAAGTTAGAACATTAAAATCTTTCCACAGATCAACTGGGCAGGGTGAAGGGCCAAAACTCTTGCCAAAGTCTGAGTTTGTCTCATCATCCAACTCCTGAAAACATTAGTGCCAAATATGTATCTTCTACATGACCAGAAACACTTCTTAAATGACCAGAACTTAAAGTTTGAAATGTGGCCTAAATTTATGTATAATATCTGTTGAGTTTGTTAAATAAGCTCTGCCAGAAAGAGTACAACCTTTATTTGTAAAAGGTGTGGTAATGCAGAAACCTAAGTTTCTGTATTTGAATGGAATGTGAAAAAGTTGAGGCAATATTTTTTGATATTTCAAGTATCATCCCAAAGCCCTGTAACCTTTGTTTTTTTCTGTTTTTCTGTTCAGTGTTAAAATGGTTAATGGTTTCATCTAGACAAAACTGCCTTGTTCAGCTTTTAATAGTCCATCCCTGTGAGAAGGGCAGGGATGTTTTTCTCTTTTAGGCTACTGTTACAATCTGTTTCTTGGGAAACAGGGCTACATCTTCATGGATGTAAGAGTCAGATTTGGAAAGTACCTTAAAATTTCACTGTTTTGACATTCTCACCAAACACATTTATATGTACCCTAAAAATGTCTGTCTCGGTAGACTAAGTCAAGCTAGAAAATCTTAAAATATCCTCCGGAGGGCTTATGTAAATATCTGTCTTTAATGGTTTGACTCTTTTAGAGTAAACAAAAATTTCATGAAGAAATTTAGGGATTCTTAGGACTCTGACTGCAACAGACAACAAATCTTTTTTTTTCCAAGTTGGGTGCTTTTTTTCTGGTTTGGGTTTTGAAGGTTATTTTTCATCTTCTATAGGATAAACTGGATCTTTTGTTGCAAACTACAGTGTAAGAAGTGTTAGCAGGAGACATAAACATACTTATCTGCACAGTTTTCACTACCTCCTTCCCACATTTATCTTTAGCATTATAGTTTTTCTTATTTGTTATTTTGTCATGAAACCTTCCGAAGTCCATTGTTGACTTGTCTCTGACTAAGGACAGGCAAAATACTAGGTGACCATAAGTAGAAAAGTCTGTGGGGTTTGTGGCTTTTTGACCTGAAAACTGCTGAGAAATTTAGAATCTTGTGTTCAGTTCTGCTCAGCGAATAATTCCTTGTATATTCATTGTATAACTAGTTTGTGTATGCTCTTGTTTAAAGAGGATCATAATCCCACCGCCTTCAGCAAAACATTATGAAACACAATTATTAGATATTGGTTTATAATAAGTCTTAAATTGAAGCCATGGATTAGAAGTTTGGTTGGATGCTGTGTAAGCTTAGAGGTGAACCAAACAGCTCTTGCAATACAAGTTTAGGACAGGTGGCAATGCTGGAAATGAGGGGAATAAACAGAAATATTGTGGATAATATTAGCACAATAATGGAGGCTAGAATTCTCCTATCAAGCTGTTGTATAGACATTACTATAAAACA